CCTCCTTGCCACTGATTTTGGATCACTTGTTCCCTTGTCTCTGGGTTGGTCAGCACCACCTCCTTTCCCCCAGCTCCCCCTCTCCCATTTCCCCCGGAACCATCGGTCCTGTTGTTTTTTCCTCCAGACCGTTCATCCAGCCTATCTTATCTAGATGGACCTGCAGAGATAATATGCCCACAAAAAAACAAGACATAGCTAAAAAAAGTGACAAAAGAAAACAAAATGATGACCAAAAAGTGACAAAAAATGAAGAAATAGATAAAAAAGAAAAAGAAGAAAAACCTGTAAATAGTTCAAGGTCTGTTTGTTGACCTCTAGGAGTGTCCTCCAGTTGAGTCCAATGGGGTGCCATGCCCTGGCCCCAAAGTCTATCCTTGGCACTCCCTCAGGACCTCCCTGCTCTGCTCCCCCAGCTGCTCTGCTGCACGCCCTTAGTGTTTTGCCTCGGTGTGGTGGGCTCACACTGTGGCTCCAATAGGGCCATGAGTCAGCAAGGGAGAGCCAATTGTTAAGAAAGAAATTTATATATATGTATATATTTTCATGATGTTAAAATTTATTAGGAAAGTTAACAGATTATAATTCAGAACCAGAAATGCTCAGGGTACAGTTTTCTTTGGTCAGCATAGGCTCTTTTCAGCTGTGACCACAGGCATACTCCCCCTGGTCCTCAGTCTCTCAGCCATGCAGCCCTTGGGCTCGTACCTGCTCAGACAGCATTACAAACTCTTTTAACATTGCCAGTAAATGCCCAAAGGGAAGAAAAAAAGATTGTTAAAAATGATATCTTAGGTGAATGTTTATTAGATTACCTTTAACAATTGGTTTGGGGATTGTTCTGTGCTCTTGGTTAGTTTTCACCCTGTGTCTGTGTCCGCATTCTTTCCTTTCTGCTTGTTCTGTTTCTGTTTGTTAGTCTGGGAGACTAGAGAAACATATTCATAGACACTCATATGTGTATAAGAGCTTTATCAAGTAGAAAGAGAATGTTTTGAGAATGATGATGGCCACAAATGTACTTGACACAATGGATGGATTATCATAGGAGTTGTACTAGCCCCCAATAAAATGATTTTTTTAAAAAAAGAGTTTTATATATGAGTAATTGTACATTAAGAAAACATCCCAAGTCTATACGTTTGATATTAGCCCATATGTCTGATACCAACCTATAAAGTCCTCTTCAGACTCATGAAACACAGGCAATGATGCTGAATGCAGGAAGATAACAGGCCATTGGATGGGAAGTCTTGTGGATCCAGTGGCGCTGTAAGCATCTCAGTGCTGGCAGGGGTCTTCACATGGCTCCTCCAGCTCAGGTACTACAGTAGTTCCATGTGTCATATTAGCTGCAATGTCTCCCAGGGAAGTGAACATGTGTCCTGCCTCCAGCGAGCTATGTATCTCCTTAGCACCTCCAAATGAGGTCATCAAGCTACGACCTGATTGACAGGCTAGACTCTACCCCTTCACTCTGAATCTTCAAATTGACACCAGATTATTTAACTACCACACTGTTGATCTAGCTTCCCTGCCCCTCCTTTCTTTTCCTTTTTGCTTTTGGATTGAGTGCCTCATGTAGTTCATTGTTTAAAGGGGGCATATTGCATGGGAAAATAAGGAAAGAGGATTTCTTCATTTTAAAAAGGCTTTTCATACAAAGGCCCCTGTTTTCTGATTTTATTAAATTTTAGTTTGCTCTTAGAGAATCTATAATTTTAGAAGAAAGTATTCTTTTTTAAGTGATGAAGGTTTTATTATAGTCATTACTACCCGTGGGATCCAGCCCACATCTAGATGGGTCCTAAGGGATGGTTGCGTAATGGAAGGGAAGAAATTAAGAGGCAGACAAAAGTTTTGGGATGCTTACCTCTTCCAGGGTATCTGGAATCAGGTCTAGAGGGGAGAGAGCAAATGTATTCTTACACCAAATTATATAGTCTCAGGGTATGCAGCCCCCTTAATTTTAGGTAACTATATCCTTAACCAAGTGGGCAGTGCCTTAAATGCTAGGGGTCCCTGAGTTCACTGGAGGAGTAACTTAACCCCAATGTTGAGGCTATCTAAGGGGAAGGCACTGTCCCCTGAGCAGGGAGTGCAATTGCAACATGCCTGCTCCTACAGATAAATCTTAAATCTGAGAATAAAGAGTGTGTGGATATCTGCATGCACTCTCTTCCTGGTCCTCAGTTTTCCATAGTTACCACGTAGGGATATTTTTAATTGTGTGTCACATGAGGGGCTGTGTGTTCTCTCTGCTTTGGGATATGACATGTCTCCTTTATAATCACTTGGAAGACTTTCAGAAAAAATTTTTTAATGGTTTCTATTTTTAATATTTTCTGCTTTCCTTTTTTTCTAAATAATTTTATTCAGGGCTCATACAACTCTTATCACAATCCATACATTTATCAATTGTATGAAGCACATTTGTTCATTCATCACCCTCATCATTCTCGAAACATTTGCTCTCCACCTAAGCCCCTGGCATCAACTCCTCATTTTCCCCACCTCCCTCATGAACCCTTGATAATTTATAAATTATTATTTTGTCATATCTTGCACTGTCCGACGTCTCCCTTCACCACTTTTCTGTTGTCCATCCTCCAGGGAGGGGGTCACATGTAGATCCTTGTAATCGGTTCCCCCTTTCCATCCTACCTTCCCTTGACCCACCTGGCATCACTGCTCTCACCACTGGTCCTGAAGGGATCATCTGCCCTGGATTCCCTGTGTTTCCAATTCCTATCTGTACCACTGTATATCCTCTGGTCTAGCTGGATTTGTAAGGTAGAATTGGGATCATGATAGTGGGTGGGGAGGAAGCATTTAGGAATTAGAGGAAAATTGTATGTTTCATCATTGCTACATCACACCCTGACTGGCTCGTCTCCTCCCTGCGCCTCCATTAGGGGATTTCCAGTTGCTTACAGATGGGCTTTGGGTCTCCACTCCGCACTCCCCCTTATTCACAATGATACGATTTTTTGTTCTGATGATGCCTGATACCTGATCCCTTCGACACCTCTTGATCACACAGGCTGGTGTGCTTCTTCCATGTGGGCTTTGTTGCTTCTGAGCTAGATGGTCCCTTGTTTACCTTCAAACCTTTAACAACCCAGATACTATATCTTTTGATAGCCAGGCACCATCATCTTTCTTCACCACATTTGCTTATGCACCTATTTGTCTTCAGCGATCGTATCGGGGAGGTGAGCACACATATGATTTTTTTGTTCTTTGATGCCTGATAACTGATCCCTTCGGCACCTCATGATCACGCAGGCTGGTGTGCTTCTTATAGGTGGGCTTTGTTGCTTCAGAAAACTATTTTAATGATCATGGTTCTATCTTGAGATAAGTCTTGATTTTGCAGTTTAGTTTCAAATGCAGTCCTTTCCCTTTGTCTATAAAGCACATGGAAATGTCTATGGCCATTTGCCTGCCCCCACCCCCCATCCCCACCCCCACCCCCCGTCCCTTTACCTCTTTTTGATGACAGATTTTCTATGTTGTGAATACTCACATTCACCTTATTAGCTCCTGCCCTGGTTCTAGTCAGCAGAGGAAATGGAGAGGGAGCACTTCACAAGGGAGAGGGGCAGGAAGCCGATATACCCAGTTAGGGGGAGTGCACTGAGCCAGCTCCGGGAAGACGTCAGGCAGATGAGGCCTGACAGCTAGCCACACAGCTGTCGCGTGTAACCGTGGTGACTGCTGGCTGGAGGGATCAGGGCAACTGATAGACTCGAGTGGGCTCATAGTGAGAGAGCGTGGGAGATGGGGATGGCAGCGGGTGACCTGGTTTACCTGTGAAGGGCAGGAGAGCAAACCAGGCTGTAGTTGAGGGAAGGTGAGGCTAACTTTTGCATGTTTAATGCTAAGAAGGACCCAGTGAAGATGGAGCGGGAGAACCAGCGGAGAAGAGAGATGAGTAGTGAAAGGCCCCTGAGAAGTGGCAGAGCGGGAGCCCCGGTGTGTTTTATAACGTGTTGAAGCAGGCGAGGAGGGCAGGGCAGGGCTTCCCCTGCTGGTGCTCACCCCCGCATGTCTTTGAAGTATTGATCAGTAAGAGCTCGCAGCTCTTGTTCATTGAGTCTGTTCAGAACTCAGGCACAAAACATTGTTGCTCCTGGAGGGCCTTCCTCTCCTTTGCTGCCTTCCACCTCACCAAACGTGAGTGTCCCAAAGTCTGCACAGCTAACTCTTGCCAGTCTTGCCTCCAAGGAGCACTCTGGCTTTACTTCTTCCAAGACAGATCCATTTGTCCTTTTAGCAGTCCACGCTACTTTCGATGTTCTTCTCCAGCACCACAATTCACATTCTTCGGTCCTCTTTAGTCAATGTTCAAGTTTCACATGCACATGAGGCAATGGAAAATACCATGGCTTGGGCACCTTAGTCTTCAACGTAACATCTGCAGCTTGTCTTTTGATCTCTTGACTGCTGCTTCTGTGAGCATTGATTGTGGATCCAAGCAAGACAAAATCCTTGACAACTGATAGAAGTGAGATAACGGGAAAAAGAAAAAAAGTGAGATCATGGGTGGCTGTTACACCCAACTGAGGCCAAGGGTCGTTGCCTTCCAGGAACTGAGAGATGTGAGAGTGAAGGTGGGGGCACTGTGACTGGGGTTCAGATCCAGAGGATCATCCCATCTGAATCCAACTTGAGACCTTCGGCCAAGGGTTAAACCGGCCATAGCTTATCCTCCTCCCAGCCTTGTATCTACCCCTTGGATTCTGTCTGCGGCGTGGTTTCCACAGACTGCTACACTCAGCAGCAGGCAGAGCACCTGGCACTGCTCCAACCCCAGTGGAGTCTCCTATCGGCCCCCTTTGGTGCATGCAGCTTAGAGGTGAGGAGAGATCTATTGTCCAGGGCCTGGTTTCCAGGGCTGTTGGCCTCTGAATTCAAATGTAGGGACAGTCTGTCCATGTGAGCCACCATGCGGGATGTTGCTTTCTGGTTTTGCCCTGAGCATTCTGTTATTCAGGGGGACACAAACCTGTCCGATTCAAGAGAGCCCTGGCTTGGGGACGGGCGGGGTCGCTGTGCCGAGAGGAACAGTCGCCTGTGCCTGGCTGGACCCTCCTGGAAGAGCTCAGCCTATGGTGAGTGGCTGGGAGGGGCGTTCAGGAATTTGACGGGCTGATCCTAGGGAGTCCCTGTCCCTGTTGGGGATGCTGCTTTCCAAAGTTCCTGAAGTCGGTGCTGTCTGACTATAGGCCCCAGAGCCTCTCTGGGCAGTTGCTGCTGCTCCCCATCCAGCCTGTCCAGCTTGGGGACCTGCTTCTCCTCCTCCTACCAGGACCTGGCCAAACACATCGTGGACACCTCCATGACTGACGTGAGTAACCGCTGCCCGGGGCCCTGGGCCAGGCATGGAGAAGGGAAGAGGAAGGAGGACAAGAAGGGGCAGGTCCGGGCCACCAGACTGAGATGGGTGCCTCTGGTGACGCTCCATCTTGGGGAAAGAAAGGGGCTTTCCATACACGCCGGCGACTGCCCAGCCCAGGGGCCCACTAAGTTGCGTGTGGTCACTCTGCCCCCAGGTGATGGCTGCTTGCTCGGATAATCTGCACAATCTCTTCATCCGCCAGGCAGCTGCTGGCTGGAAGTAAGTGTCTAGGCGCCGTGTCTCCTCCCAGGCTCGGCCCATTGTCCTGCTTGGCGTCACCGCCCTGGCTTCCCTCAGGCTGCCAGCCCAGCTTCCTCACCCGAGCGCTGTCCTCAGCTATCAGGGTGAAGAGCAGGGGGTGCAGCTTTACTACAAGGTGTTTTCTTCCACGCGGCATGGCTTCCTGGGGGCAGGCATGGTGGGCCAGCCCCTGCCTCAGGTGTGGACGGCAGTGAGTGACCCCACTCTGTGGCCCCTGTATCACAAGCCCATCCAGAGTGCGAGGCTTCACCAGCGGGTGACCAACAGCGTCAGCCTGGGTGAGTCTGGGGCCTGGCACTCAGACTAGGTCTCTTAGCCATAGGTTTGGCTTGGGGGTGGGATGGCAGCATTGGGTTCTCGGCTGGGAAGGGCTCAGCCTGGTGACTGACTTGCATGCCCTGCCCTGCCCCGCCCCGCCCCACAGTGTACCTGGTGTGTGGCACAGGCCTGTATGCGTGGAAGCAGCCTCGGGATTTCTGCTGTGTCTGTGTGGAAGCCAGCGAGGTACCTGCCTTCCTGGTGGCAACAAGGCTGTGGGAAGAGCTTGGGGGGTGGGGGGGTAGGGAATGCCTTCAGCAGGGACCCCTAGGAAAGGGAGGACTGGTCAGGTGGGCCTCGTGTGTCGGGGCGCATGGAGCCTTCTCATGGGCAGGCGCACACCCTTCTCTGTTCACAGGGGCCCCTGTCTATCATGGCAGTGCAGTCTGTGTACGACAGGTCCATGCCACGGCCCAGCAGAGAAGTGGTGCGAGGGGAGATCCTGCCCAGTGCCTGGATCCTGCAGCCTCTCACCCTGGGCGGGAAGGAGGTCACCAGAGTCGTTTACTTGGCCCAGGTACAACCAGCTCCCCAAGTGTCCAGCCTCCCCGGCCAAGCCTTGATTTGATCTGTTGAGCTAGTGACCCAGTGACCCTTTGGCCAAAGGACAATTCTTGAGAGCTGCAGACTGAAGGGCTTCTTGGGTCAGCAGTTGAAGGGGTGGGGGGCGGTTTGAGCTGATCCACCTTTCTGTAGCCGCTGGCCCTCCAGCAGCTCTGGCTGCTCCCAGGGTCCTTGAGGTAGATGGCTCACGGCCAGTTAAAAGCAGCAGCTTCAGCAGAGGGAGATGACCCGTTTGTCTGGCTGTCCCCTCGCATCCTGGCATGAGCTCTGCCCACTGCCAGCTCCCTGTGGCGCAAGCGCACCCTGGCACGCTGAGTCCGTTTGCAGCCTGGAAACCCCCCACCCCTTGCTTTATTTCAGGTAGAACTTGGTGCTCCAGGCTTCCCCGCACAGCTCCTCAATTCCTGTAGCAAGCAGCAGCCACTGGTCATCGCCAGGCTGGCTTCCTTTCTCGGCAGTTAGCATTGGGCCAGCTGGATAACGGTGCTGCTAAGCCTCGGGCCCAGGATGTTGCAGACAGGGGCTGTGGCAGCTCCTTTCTGGACCCCATTGTGAGAAGATCCCAAGGCGGCCTGCTGGGGCTGCCTGGACAGACAAGACAGCCCACCCTCACTCACAAAGCCCAACTTGGTCACAGCTGGTGCCACCACAGAGCAAAGGCCTGAGCCCTGGGCACCCGGGTGAAGGAAGCTCAGTTCGCTTTGTGTGCTCACTTCCCAGGCCACAGCCTGGACTGGCGCAGGCCGCAGAGCTGGGGTCTGTGCAGCTCGGGCCAGCCTTGGCCAGGACACCCAAGGGGCTCCAGAGCTAATGAACTGCCCTGTGGGCTGGGGCATTAGAAAAGGGTTTCCAAGAAAACAGCTGCACAAACCAGAAAGTGGATTCAGAATCTTTTCTCCCTGACTTTCCCCACCCGTTTGCAAACAGCTTTATTGTTACTCTGTGGGTTTTCCTCCTCAGGCCTTTGCATCAGTCAGGAGAGCGGAGCAGCGCTCTGCTCAGAGACCCAAGCAAGGGCCAGCGAGGCCCCCTGCTAACATAGGGTTGGGCGGGGCGGGTCGTGGAGGGGCTGCAGATTCAAACTGTCCCTTTGGAGGGAGAGGCTGCCCCTCCTTATGCCCAGGCCTCGGGGCACCACGGGGGTATCTCACGAGTCTTCAGGGCTGCTGAAGTTTTTTTTTTGGAGGGGGGCACATGGGGACCAAGAAAATGTGGTTAAAAAGCCTGTTTTCTCTAAGTGCAGCAGATGGTTTTCTAAATGTTTGCAGGTTTTTTATGACCTCAGATTATATATATTTTTGCTTTTATTTTTGTTTTGTAACATTTGACCTACTTAAACACCCTATTTATGTACTCCCTTTCCTTCCATATAAACCTCTCGCTGAGATGATTGACCAAGGTCAGAACCCTGGCAAAGGAAACCTTGTGTACTGTATGTATTCAGTGCGATCTACTTGGGTGGCATCCTGGGCTCAACATGGAGGTTGGGGTGAGGGCACCTGCCCTCCATTTGCTGCTTGCCCACATGGGGTGCTTTGTGAGGAAGGGGGATCCAGTGCCCATGAGGTCTGGGAAGAGGAGCATGGACAGTGAGCCATGTGAGAGCCTCAATGCATGTTTCTGGCAATTTGGAGCCATGTTCACGGAAGCTGATTTTGTAGCAAAAGGTGATCTGGGACCGAGTGAAGGCAGATTTCCGACAGGGTTGTGAAGGACTTGAAACGTGGGTGGCTGGACCCATCGCTACAGCTTCTGGGGCCCAAGTGCTTGTGTTTCTAACAGGTTTCCAAGCTGATGCTGCTTGTTCAGTCAACAGAACAGTCTAATCCTTCCTTTACGAGTGCCGGGCACAGGATGCTGGTCTCTCCAGTTTTTACCTTATTGCCTAAGAAAGCGACCAGCAGAAAGGTGCCCGAATCTGTAGTTCATTTCTATTCCTAGTCCGCAGCATTTCCGGGCAGGCTGTGATCAGCAGCTGTGGAGCAGCCCAACTATACGGCTTCTCTGTGACTCAAGGCCATCTTCCTCGCTCCTGTCTGGCCCACTTTACCCGCAGCGGTCCCGCCAGGAGTGCGGTAAAGTGGCCACCCTGCTGCCACAGAGACGCCTAACTCGTGCCTGAGCTCCCACACTTACTGGTTAGCTCCTCAGTCAACTGTAGTGCGCTTTGATTAGGAAATTTTATTAGGAAATACTAGGAAAAAAATGAGACCTGTTAATGGTGTGACTGGGGCAGCACTGAGAGCAAGACGTGATCTGACTCGTAGGTGCCAGGGCCTCTAGTCCCCTGAGCAGCAGTCCTTTTAGCAGGCCAGCGTCCACTGTGCTGAAGGCCTCTAACACTTATGCACACACACAGCTATAAGCCCCTCCAGGAAGCTGCCTGTGATCTGTGTACGTGTTGCCACATTGGAAAAAGAATGGGGTTAAAAGGAAAGAACTTAGTGCACTTTCAAAGTAATGGGATTTTGCTTGGTCTTGACCAACGACTTGAACGGGAGTAGCTCTGGCCTACCTTCGTGGTACACAGCCAGTCCAGTCATCTCATGAAATTAACATGTATGGCACCAGGGGTAAAGAAAAGGGTTTATTCTGAAAAACTCAAAATAACCTGTGAGTGCAGGTGAGTCCTCTCTTTCTCTGTTGCGCCATTTTAAGGAGATGGCTCCTGGCGCTAAGAAATGTGGACTCAAAGTTCATGCTTCAACCTTCCTCACAGGAAGTTTTTTGCTTCTGTCATGATTTCCCCAAAACACAGTTTTAAGGAGAATATGCTTGGGGTAGCAGCAAGTGGGGCTTGAAGGCTCCTGGGCTACCAAGCCCACACCTATCATTTCTTTTCACATTCCAAATGATAAACGCCCCAGCCCTCTTCTCCAGGTATCCGGCTGGAAGGGTCGCAGGCGCTGGTGGGTGTTAGCAGCCGAATATCCGTCCGTCCTTCACATCTAAGTAGGCACTCTGGTCCCATCAGATGGTCTGTCCACCCACTACCCGGCTCCCAGCAAGGGTTGGAGTGGTGCTGCACTCTTCCTGAGGCACGGTCAGGCAGGCTTCCTGGCTCCCAGCCCATAGCTGGGCCACCTTCATCCTAGCTCTGAGCCAGCACCGTCCCCCGGTTCGGTTGCACCAGCTCACAAGTCCTTAGCTGTGGTTCTGACACATGAGGCTCAACTAGAAACAGGTTGAACAAGGTTGCTAACTCTTTAGCAAAGTCCTAGAACAAGAATAAGGCAGATATAATTCTGGAAGGGTTCCATACTTCCTACTAAAAAGCCTTAAGTAACTTGAGTAGGAGCCTCATAGTGCAGAGAGTTAAGCTCTGAAAGGCAGGCAGGTCAAACCCACCAGCAGCCTTCTTCAAGTTGCGCTAGCTCAGAAACCCTTTGGGGCAGTTTTACTCTGTCCTAGAAGGCTGCTGTTGGAACCCGTGGGTTTGGTTCTGAAAACCAGTGACGGGAAGCCCTAGCTGATAGCTTTTCCTGGTTGCCTTCTACACGGAAATGGACTCCACACCTCGCCTCAAAGCGCTCGCTCGTGGGGAAGGTGGCGTTGGTCTGCACGGCGCTATGGCGGGAGTGTGAGCCCCCGTCCTGTGAACATGACAAGGTTATTCCGATCTGGGAAGGTTCTGTGCTCAGGCCTGCCGCCATCACTTTCCACTGGTACGCCCTTCACCAGTCCTCACAGACAGACTCACGTTTGTTTCAGGTGGTCCTTAGGACCAGACTCCCCCCTTGAGGTTCAGAGGCAGGGCTCCTTACCCCAGGCCCCTGGGCCTCATGGAGGCTGCCCAGGCAGGCGTCGACCTCCATCCGGCCCATCAGACCCGTTTCGATCAGCTGCTGGAGCAAGAAGAGCAGCAGGTCCCACTGCAAAACAGGGAAGGGGCCGGTCAGGGCGGGCCCGTGGGGAGAAGTGCGCCAGGACCCTGAGCGAAAGGACCGAGTGAGTCAGGTGGAGACCAGAGGGAACGAAGGAGAGCAGCTCACTCTAGGGGAGAAGGTGGTGGCCACGCACACACACCGCTTCCTCCCACCCGGCCCTGACTCACCTCTCTGGGCCGGTTGGCAGCCAAGAGCCCCACATTTCTTGGCCTGAGCAGCAGCTGCAGAGGGACGGGCACCTGGAAGTTGTCCTTCCACAGGGCAAGCAGCATGCGCAGAAGCCTCCGTGCCTGCCCTCGATCTAGCCTGGGCTGTGGGGGGGGCCCAAGGATGGGAATCTGGTCTGCAACTAGGGGAAAAGGAAGCCGAGCTTTGAGAGTGGTGTTTTCCTCCCAGCCAGCTCACAACAGGGCAGTGAGGGAGACAGGAAGCATACCAAGCAGGGATGCCAACTCTACCGAGCACTTGGCCAGATGCTGCTCCGCAGGTGGGCACAGGAACTGTGGAGAAAGGGAAGCCCCAGACGTGAGTGAGCCCTGTCCTTGGAGCAGCGCCCCCGTGTGCTGAGTACCATGGCTCACCTGGCGGCACCGTAGTGTCTGGCCCAGCTGGCCAAGGAGCTGCTCCAGGTGCTCCGGGGACACTCCCTCTTCAGGGTCTCGGGGCCCCACAGCCAGCGAGAGCACGTCCTGCAGAGAGCAGGAAGTGGGGGCTGAGTGAGGCCCCACGGGGAGCAGGGTGCCAGAGAATGAGGGGGGTGGGGTCAGCCAATGGAGAGGCAGAGGAAAAGGAAGATGGGGCCAAGGTGCCCAAGGGCAGGACAGCACAGCTGGGAGAAGCACCCCGGTGAACAACAGAAGAGGGCCCGGATGGAGCAGGTAAGCAGGAGACCACGATGCTGAGAAGGCAGGGCAGACCTCACTCAACCTGGGACCAAACTGTCCCTACCCAGTCCCAGAGGCCACCTCATTCTTAAAAGCATTTAGAGGAGCCTCTGAATCACCTGTCCTGTCGGATTCACAGTTTTAGCCTCTCTACCCTCCCTACATGCCCCCAACCCTTCCTGATGGAAATCCGTGTGTCTACGTGCAAAACGCGTCTAATTTCAGTCACAGGGCTTTCCAATATCCATACCGAGTGTCTGCTCTGGAGTAAATATTTCAGCCTTTGTGGCCACACCTGACTGTCACCACAAGGGCAGCCCTGGACCAGGGGGTGGATCGAGCCAGGGCCCTGCTCTGTGCCTGCCTGCATGGCTCAATTTGAAAGGACGATTACTGCCGGCACAGACCGCTTCTGAAACTATAGCCCACTTCCTGGGTGACAGCCACTTGGAGACCTTCCTACCACTGAACAGCCCGTGGAAGATGCGTGCAGTCAGAATGAAACGTGAGTTAGCGGCACACCCCCGGAGGCTCTCCACATAAAGGCAGACGCTGATGGGAGACAGGAAGAGAGCAGGGAGAGGGAGCAGGGAAGCCAAAGGGAGTAGGGTAGTTGTGTACTTTGATCTCGGAGATGAGGTGGGAGGGGAGGGGAGCATGGTGCTCACAGGCACAGGGACAGCCCCTCCGCTCCCCCCGGGCAGCTGGCTCAGGACCTTGGGCTCGGAGAGTACGACTCACTGCCGACTTCACCTCTCTCCTGATCAACGCTGAGGGCAGAGCGAGAACAGAAGTCACTGCCCATGGAGCGCGAGGGTCCCAAGGGCTTGGGGTCCCATCTTGCCAAATGTTTCTCTAGCCCCCCTCCAGCCCGCTTCTGACAATGTGGTCCTGACATTCCTGCTCCTGGGCCTCACCTGTGATGTTGGCCGACAACCAAGCACAGGCTTTTTCGGTTGCCAGCCCCACAGCAATGTTCTCTGCGCTGCTCCGTACCTGTGGTACAGAGGGACCTCGGTCACACCCACCATGCAACCACGTAGCACCTCCCTCTCCCACGACCTGGGAGGGGGGCACTTACAGCTGCAGGGGTCTCCTCCGGGAGCAGCGCCCGCACTGCTTCAGGACTCTTCTTCTGGCAGAATCTGGGAGGAGGCAGGGCGGATGGTGAGGAGAGAGGGCACTGTGTGCACGCCCCTTCACCAATAGGGGAGGGGAGGAGAAGTGGCAGACAAGTGCAGAGGGGAGGACAGGACAAAGGGAGTGTGAAAGGGGTGTTGCGAGGGGCAAACAGGTGGTGTTCCTTACTCCCGTCCTTGGGCCAGTGCTTGGGCCCCTTGGGGGCACAGCTGGGAACAAAGCATTTCTAGCAGCTGGGCTGGATCTCCCCCATCCTGCCCCTGCATCCCCAGCCGCTCCTGGAGCAGTGCCTCTGCCTGGTGCACCAGGTCTGCCACCAGCGTGGCCCTGTGGCAAGGACAGCAAAGGGGAGCAGACTTCTGTGAAGAATGTTAGCAGTTTGGCCCCCTCCCAACGCCCCCCCGGTTTGCAACAAGGGGATGAAATGGACCCTCTGGCAGCTGCCCCTCCGCCATCCCGTACTTGATATGTTTGACACAGTTGGACCCAATTCTCTCGGCCACAAACTCCACAGTCCTGCGCAGGGAGGGCGGCTGGTTGTGGAAAAAGGCCTCTGCCAGCTGTGCCTGGGGAGGGAGGAGGCAGTGCAGTCAGGGAGGGCTTCCTTCCACCCAAGTCTCCTCTCTCCCACTGGGCTGGCCCCTCACCTGCAGCCCCTGCGTAGTCTGGGGAAGATGGGCTCCCAGGCTGGTGGTGGTGGTGGGGGTGATTTTCCTCACGAAGCCCCCACTCCGCCCGCTGCTCCCCGATACCCAGGAAGCAAGCAGTTTCCGGAGCTCTCCTGCATCAGGGAAGCCACGTTCTTAATTACAACCAAGCAGCTCGGGTATAAAGCGCTGGTAGCGAGGCTGAGCGGCACACAGGAAGCAGGCGCATTCTGGGTTCTCACCGATGTAAGGGCAGCAGGTATAGAGCAGCTGCTGGTCCACCACAGGCATGCTATCCTGGGGGAGAAGAGGCCAGGGCTGGAAGCGCCGCAGGGTCCCCCCTCCCAGTGCAGAGAAGACACAGGGATTCATCCTTCCAGATCAGCCCACCCCCTCTGGCTGGACCCCAACACTCACCAAACCATTTTCTGAGGCTCCTGTGTCCACTTCAAAGGCATCCCACTGACCCTCCTCCAGAAAGAACAGGTCCTCAGGGACAGTGGGGATCTGAGAGGGGAGAAGGGCAAAAGCGCTTCAGCCAGGTCCTCAGAAACCCATCAACCTTGGAACCCCAGGTTCAAAGCAACCTTCCCGATTCCCACACCTTCTGGCCCCGACCTCGCCCAGACTCAGACACTGTCCCTCTCCCCTCTTCTCCAACCTGGAAAAGCCAGCCCAGGACAGCGAGCAGTAGCAGCTTGTTGAGGGCACACATCTCCCCGTCACTCTGCTTGGACAGGACCAAGCTCCTACAAGGCAAATGGGGGCTATTCAGACACAGGGCTAGTGCTGAGTGCAGTCAGTCTGCACAGACGTGCACACACATCCGCCAGGCCACAGGGGACGCTCAATGGACTGGCCAGTCTGCCTTCCTTCTGCAGCTTGGCTTGGTGCCCTATCTGGCTTTCTAAAGAGCAGGTTCTCCACCGCACTCTCCCGCCCTCGGCTGCAGCCTGCCCAGCTCCTCTCTCTACTCACCGATGCAGCTGCAGCAGGAGGCTGAAGGCACTCCGGTAGTAGTCCAGCAGGGGCACAATGTGGTCGGCGAAGGAAAGGAACTCCACGAGCCAGGGCACAATGAGCACCGCCCGGCGGGCCCCCAGCCCCTGCTGCAGCAGAGTCAGCACGTCCAGGACCGGAGGGACCTGCTGGGGCCAGTGCCCAGTCAGTGGATGCCCTGGGTGGGGCTGGGTCATGCCCTCTAACCTGCCTGGTTTCCTGAATGGCCAAGGAAACCAATCAACTGCCATGTCTTGCTGCTCCTCCCAGCTCCTGCCTGGCCGGGAGTCCCCACTCACCTGGTTCCTGAGGGCCAAGATAGAGTCCTGAAGTTCCCGGGTGGGCGGTGGTTCAGGGCCCCGATAGGGCAAGAAAGCCACAAAGCCCAGGAATTTAGCCAGAAGCCGCAGGCTGAGCAGCACCACAGCAAACTGCCTCCGCTCACCCTGCAGAAAACAAGTGGAGAGAAGAGGTCCAAAGGACAAGGCTTCCGGAGCTCCAAGTCTGCCATAAAGTCATCTGAAAAACACCCCTTGCCGCCTCGGTCAGGCCCACAGAAGGTCTCCCTCCCTCCCTCCTTGTGTCTAACCTGCCAGTCCACGTCTGACTCCCCATCCTCGTCACTCGGCTCATGAGGAGGCAGGACAAGGCTGTTCAGCTCCCGGATCTTCAAGCTCAAACTATCCATGAGATGCTGATTAAATTGGAAGCTAACAGGGGGACAGAGAAGGGAGACATCGGCAGATGTAGGAAGGAAGAGAGGGGAGAGGTATTCCCAATGGAAGGACCAACAGAGTAAGTAGAGGAGAGTAAGAGGCCCCAAGACATGGAGGGGGAAGAGAGAGAGGAGAGAGACCACAAGAGAGCAAGCGAGCAGACTCTCTCTGAGCCTGTCCTGTTCCCTGCAGGCAAAGGAGCTGGGCCTCTCATGGCCCCACCCTCAGCCCCCCAGGACACAGCCTTTACCTGTTGGCACTCAAGATGAAGTCCCTGAAGAAACCTTGGCAACCTGGGAAGGTGGGGGGTGGGCAGGGCCCCCCACTGCTCTGAGGAGCCACAAGTCTTTCCTGTAGACGCCGTAATCGCCCCAACTTGTCAGCTCCTAGCATACTTAACACATCTGGAGCCTCGCCCAAGACTGTGCCCCCAGCCCCACCTGGGCTCTGACACATCTGGTCAGGGATAGGGAGGAGAGAAGGAAAAAAATTTAAAATTAAGTTGGAGGACTGAACAAAATCTAAGTAGATACTAACAAATACATAGCGGGAGAAAGATGTGGCTCGGTGCTCTGAGAACGATCTCCATTCTCAGAAACTTGACCCGGTGGGGCTGCTGCGAGTTGAATGGACTCCGGCAGGGAGGTTTGGTTTAACAAGTGTTTATGCAAATGCCGACCCGAAGCCACACACTTGAGGCACAAACTTTCTTAGTAGGGATTACAGTCTGTTTATTGATGAAAAGCCACAACAGAACCTTGGGCTCAGTATTTGCTCATCTGATCCCTAGGCTTGAGAGAGCACTCCAGCTCCCAGAATGGCATCCACCAACAAGAAGAACACAGGCTCAACACCACCACCTGCCCCCTCCGCCAACCAAGCAGCTGTCTGCCCCGCCCTCCGGAGCCTGCCTGCCCACTGTGGGCTGCCTGCCCACTCCTGGGCTTACCTGGATAAGTTGCTTTTGGAAGAGCCGGACAAAGTGACTGTGGCTGCAGGCTGCAGAGAGCTGCCCCATCATGGCTCTAAGTGACAGGCAGCAGAAAGGAGAGTGAGGAAAGGAAATAAGGGTCCTCCAAGCTTCCCAGGGATCTGAGCAAAGGCCAGGAGGCTAGAGATACATTTAACCTAATAGAGAAACACCCCACCCCATCTTGTATACAGTAACCACCAGAGTTTAATGACCTGGGCGGAGGAGGCTAGAACCCTGGACAGCGAATGTTCCTTCAATGTCCTAGTTACCCAAGTATGCAATGTGATCAGATTCTCCCAAACTAGAAGATGCAGAAAGTAGGTTTTTGGAAAGGTCTCACTAGTGGCCTGGCTCAAAACTTAAGCCACCTGAATTAGGGAGCTTTTCACTTTTCTAAATATTCTCAATCAGAGGACAAGGAACCAGAAGAGCAAATGACTGGAGAAGTTAAAGGGGGTTGAAGTTTGCAGCTTTGGCCAGCAAGGGTTGGAGTAGAACACTTTCCAATCAGTTTCTCAAGCACCAGCAGGAACCAGACCAAGCACTCACCTGATTCTGCTGCCCAAGCCCTTCTCGAAGTCCCAGCCAGGCTCCTCATGGTGATCTTCCCACTCCCGAAGCACCTCGTAAAACACATCCCTGACAGACACACACGAAGGCCTGATCAGCCAAGGCACAGCTGCCTGACACTCATTCCCAAGGCAGGGGTATGAAACTTAGTGGCCAAATTCCAGTTCCTATGAGAACTCCACAGCTGCCTGTGCCGGGCTGCAATACCTCATTCCCAGGACCCGCCTTCATTACCTTTGTTTTTTAAAGGTGTGAAAGGCTCGGTCACTGGAGAAATTGGCACGATTGTCAGTTTCTGGCTGAAAGGAGACAGCCTGAGCAGAGGGTGGCATCACCACAGAGACCTAAAAGACAGCAGTGACATTAAGAACCAGGCCTGCAGGGGTCAGGCGGAGAAAACGTCACCCCTACCCAGAGCTAGCCCATGTGACACGTAAGTGGTGTGAGCTATAAAGGCTGGGGAGGGCCAGGGTCAGGCAGTTGGTACCTTGGCAGCACTGCCCTCGTAGGCAGCTCGCAGGCGGCCTTGCAGAGCTGGTGAGAAACACAGGAGCCGCTCATTCTCAGCCAACAGCTTCAAGGTCCCTTTGTCCAGGTAGCAGAGAACCCTGCAAGGGGCAAGAGCAGATGTAAACGAGACGGCAATAGCTACAAAGAGGAAGCTAGGCCCTGCATATGTGGAGCACGGGGTAGAGAGGGACAAGGCCCAGAGAGGTTAAGATGGAGCCACTGCCTCCAACAGAGATGATGGGCAGAAAAGGGGAGGGCATGACCCCTCACAGAGCAGGAAGCAGGAGCACAAGGCTGAAATGTTACACAGAAATGCAAAAGTCAGCTGTCAGGACCACAGCAGGCAGCCTGACTCTCTTAGGGGCTACACGCATAAGCGTGACACAAAGTCACAGGTGACAAAGGTCTGGGTTGAGCACTAGCATGCACCATAAGAGGCCAGAGAGCACAGCAGCCAGTGGGAATGAGGCTTAACCGGCACCTAGGAAAACTCACTGAAACTGCCGTTCTAGAACCTGCACTGCAAAGAAGACACAGTCATGGACACTCTGGAACAGCGGGCTCTCCAAGGACTCTGGAATGAGAGCTGCAAAACTGTCAGGGAAGACCTTCTCAATTCCCAGGTACCACTTCTCCAAAGGGGGCTTGCCTACTGACCGGGGGTGCCTGGGCTTGGCTCAGGGTCTTTCTCCTTGGCAGCCACCATCCTGCGGACAGTTAAGAGCTGAAGGACGAAGAAAAGCTCCAAGAAGAGGTTTGGGACCAGATTTTCTAGAGATAAAGAGAAGCCCAGGCTATTGGGCATCATTCGGAGCCAAGGCTGTTTTCTGTACCTCACCAATCCTGCCATCCACTCCACCTTCCTTTGCCCTCACTCACCAGCAATGCATGAGGAGTAGACAAGGGCTATCAGCTTCAGACGCTGGCGGGAAGACACTCTGGCAGGGTCTGCGGGTTCAGCTGAGAGGCTTCCCGTTCGGCTGGGCAGGGGAGACCCCAATTCAGGGGTGGGGTAGGCGGGCATTGGTGACTGTGGCTGCTGCTTAGAGCTATGGGGACAGAGGGTGGTGGAGTGGGACTATGAGCAGTCAGCATGGCTTCCCCTCCAGTCACACTCCAGTCCTTCCAGAGAGGGCCCCGGGGCAGGGTGGGGGTGGGGGCTTGGCAAGGCTCATACCGCTCCTTCCTCAGCATCTCCCGCTCCTCCTGCAGACCTCTGCACCCTGGGGGAAGGCCAAGGCCCCAAGGGCTAGTGTCCAGGGCTGAGGGCTGGGGACTGGGGGCACAGTTGATGGGGGGTGAGGTGAAGCACGTCTTGGGCTTGGAGAGTGACCGCTCTTCGCTCACCGGAGTTGGATTGATCCTGCGCGAAGGCTTCGTCCTGCTGAGTGGCCACGGGTTTTTCTCAGATGCCACCCCTGCCCTCCTCGGGAGCCCACTTTCCCCACCGACGCTCTCCCTCGCGCACGCGCG